AGGAAACCGTGTTCCGAGACCATCTCCTGAGCACAAAGCGCCCCAGTTCTGAGAGGGGAACGGGGTGGGGTGCAGGCGAGTGAGGGGCACCTTATATTTACTCCAGAGAAGTCAAGAGGGGATGCAAAGTTGGGCTTTGGCAGCTGGAGAACTGACGGCCTGGCTCTGAGCCTGGGGACCACATGTCCTGAAAGCTGCTGTAACTGGTTGTGTAAGAGTCTTGTCGCCGCCTTGGCCAGAGTTCTGGCTTCAGCGTGGGAAGAGACCCTACGTGACACGAGACACACCTCCCCGTGGCTTCTGTGATGACCAGCAGAGGGGCTGGAAAAGGGAACTGTTGAGCAAGGTGGCAGTCACCAGTCCCAGGACTGAACGGGAACGGGGTCACCAAGATGTAGAGCCAGTTTTCAACCACCAGCCCTGGGAGAAGGGGCTGGGGCAGGAAGCCTCTCAGATTTGGAACGAGGGCCCCCTCCTAGGAGCCCCTACGTGGGCTTGACTTGTTCCCCAACTTCTCTAGGTTTGCACTTGGGGTCAGGGGCCACTGGGGGTGGGAGTGAGGGTCCCCGGCAGGATCTGGGCATTGGCCCCTCAGATCCAGCCTGCGAATTCCCTGGCAAATCCAGCCTGGAGCCTCCTCCTGAGAAGAGAGAGAACGGAGCCCCGCCTGCTCCTGTGGGAGGACCACCCTCCGTCTCTACTTGGCCTGGTATCTGGGACGCCGCGTTCACTTGAAGGCCATGGCTAGCTCTACAGACGGGGCCATGGCACGCCCGCAGCTGCCCACTGGGGAGGCGGCCCCAACCCACTTCCCTGACCCTGCAGGACAGTGTCTGGAGCTCAGCACAGGTCCCCGGGCCCCTCCGTCCGCACATGTGATGAGTGCAGAGGCTCCTGGAGGGGTAAAGGGGGTCTCCACGTGCTTGACAGGGGTCGGAGGCTGAGCGGCACTAACTCCTGCCTTTGCTGTTTAAACACGTGAGACACTAAAAGACAATTAGAAAACAAAACAAGCCCCTCGCCCCCAGTGCAGTGAAGAAGGCAGAACTTAGCATGGAAAACACATGCGTGACACCCTCTAGACTGGATCTGGGACTAGAGGCTCAGCCCTCGCCAGGGAGACACAGATCGCCTGGGCTGGCAAGTCCTCCTGCCACACTCCCAGCTTCACGGGGCTCAACCCAAGACTGGAGGTGTCTGCAGGTGCGGTTATCTCCCCCTCATCTCTGTTCACAAGCGATGTGGATGGGGCATGGGTTTCCTTCCCGACAGTGCGCGGCTCATGTCCCACCCCCCTCAGGAGCAGGCTGTGAAGAGGCGCGCCTCTGCCTCCTCCCGGTGGCCGGCAGACGGCTCTCCTGGGTCCCTAGCTGGGCAATATTTCATGAACAGAAGCAGAAGCGTCTCCCTCCAGCGCTTCATACGAGAGTGCTGGCCATGGCAAACCCCTTAGTAGCCACCAGCTCTCCAGCAGGAAGTCACACGCCCATCCCTGCCAAGTCTAG